TGTGTGTTCTTTCTGTGTTTCTATCAATGTTGAATTTGATAGAAAATAACTAATTTAAACCATATAATGCAAGTTTTCTGGACAAAATTTGTAAATATTTTTGGTGTGCTTTCTCCCCTGTCCCTCCTTTTTCTCATGCAAGAGCCAGATGTGTTTTTTTCCTATCCTCTGACTGGCTAGTGGAAAAATGTATTCCCTTTTTTCTACCTAACCTAACTTAAAATAAAATTGTCTTAATCAGAAAAGTCTGAAGAACACACGTTTGTGAACCATGTGATCCTGATCATGAGGTGCTGCTTCTCACGTGCAGAAAATTCTGGTGGGCTTGTGCTCAGTTTCAAGTTGTATATTTTAATTTTAAATACATCTTTTTTGGTAATCATCAGGATGTCCTCTGTCTGTATAAGTAAAGATGACTTTGCAGTCTTTCATCTTTGTTTTAGTGTAATTTCTGGCTAGGTAAGCTAAAGGAGAATTATCCAAAGCTTGCCTGGTTCTTAAAGCAGCTACTGGAAGAGATTGTGTGGAGTGTTTGAGGTGTTGTGTAGCTGGATCACATACCAGGAGCTACTGCTTTTCTGTTCTCAAGCAGAAAAGCTAAAGGCCAATTTCAGATTTCAAACCTGACTTTGCATTTGGCAGTGCACAGTGTCTCTGGCAGGCCATAGGAACATCCATGTTTGCAAAGTAAAATTGAATCGAATGTGGCATCCTCTGCTGGTGGCTATGCTGATAGTGTTTTAATTAGATTCCTATTTTTGTTAAGGCTGATCTGATTTAATATCTTATGCCATTGATCACTGTGATATTAAAAGTCTAACAGGAGTTTATATTTGCTATCAAGAAAGTGCATGTTTCAGCAATAGAACACAGAACTAGTATTATAAGTGTGAGCTGTACCTTACTCTCAATGAAGTTTGTAGTGAAGCTTTCCCTGACTTCTGGGAGCTGGGGTGAATCCCTTGATGGGTACTTCCAGGTCTGATGCACCAGGACCATTCTTACCTCTTTCTGGCATGGGATGGGGAGATATTCATAGGATAGTGCTGTGATTTAATTATTTGTGGTTTTGATGAGAAGCCTTTCTGTTACATTTGCTGAAATGCCAAAAAAGATTTAAAAAAAAATGCTACATGTGTTGTGATTGATTCTATTCCTAAATACTGTTTTTCTCTTTTTCTGTTTCAGTAATCACAGGTTTTACCTTCAGCAGGTGCAGCGTACTTTCCTAGTTCTGGTGTTTTATGTAACAGTTTTTTGCAACTGCTTTATTGACTGATAACAAATCACTCTTCTATCTTGCCAATTTTATGGATTTTATTAGTAACACTAATCATCTCTAGTGCGAACACTACACTGACAGAAACATTAAAGTTTGTTGTCATCTCACTTTTACTTGGAGTAATTCAGTAGAGCATTCAGGAAGTATTGCATATACTGATTAAGTGTTTGGTGTGTGTAGCATTCGGGAGTGAGTGTGTGTGTATTGGGTTTTTGTTTTCTTTTGCACTTTTAAGCCAAGCATTGTTAGTGCAGCTGTGGCAACATTAGAGGTTTATTAGTTGTTTTTGATATCCAGAGATTCTGATGTGAGGCTGCTTTTGGAAGTACTGTACAGACTCTTGTGTGATAAATGCTGTACCTCCTATACTGCTTTCAGCTAAGTTATCCAAGGCTGCCTTTGGCTCCAACAATAAAAGCTGTCTATGCAATTTTGAATTTTAGTAGTGCCATGTAGCTCATATAGAAGACACTGGCAAAAGCATTTTAACCACAGATAAGGTGAATTTATTAATTGCTCTTTTGTGTAATGTTACTTATATTGGTACTGTACTGGTACTTTTTATTACAGTTCTGTCCTTGCTGTTTGCATACATTGAGAGCATTTAAAAATGCAGATTCGGCATTTGTGACGGATGTGATTTGTTACACAAGTTTCTAGGCTGTTAGCTGGATCGTAGTTCCTGAGTGAGCTTGTGTGAAGCAATGACTGTGATGCAGCACTGTAAGTGAACATGCTTGTGCACTTAACAGATGTAAACGAAGCAGAGTTTCTGGCTGACTTTATATGCCCTCTCAAGATTAATTGAAACATAAACCCACCTGTTTTTATTATCTTTTCAGTCATGCATAAGGCTTGTGCACTATAGATGTATGCTGAATCCTTCCTCCAAGGTGTGGATTTTATATTTTGGTAAAACCAGTACTGTGAGAATCTGTTTCTGAGAATGATGCTCTCAGTTGTAGTGATTGCTATAGTTATTGTGAATTGTCTTTTTTTTTCCTTTTTTCTTTTTTTCTTTTTCTGAAAAATTAGGCTAGAGCCTGAATAGGATTTAAACTATGTTGAAATGATTGGGGGTGATGAAGGAGCCTGGCGGGGCACGTGTTCTTTCATTTTCTCATCCGGGTTTGTCAGTGTTATATTTTTGTACCCACCAACATATGAAATAGGTGTGTTTGAACTGATTCTTTAGAGCCCATGTTTTATTCAGTGTCCTTAAGCCATTCCCAGGGCAAAACAGTTAGGCTGCACATGACCATGAAAGTGAAAATAAATGTAAGAACCAAATAAATGTTGTTCTTTCTCTGCAAGCTGTTTAAAAAAAAGAATAGTTACCAAAATATTAGATTATTATTGAAGCCTTTTCTGACCCTAAGAGGGAGGTTAGGTTACCAGGAAATAATACTTAATTCAGGTCTTGTCTGTTTTGCACATGCTGATTTTGAGGCAGATTTGCTATTGTAAGGAGTTTGCAATAATGATGCTATAATAAATACATACCTAAATCATTGCACTATAAGGATATTTAACTTGCAATGTAGTCTTGGTGACTTACATATTTTGGTGATTTTACATACTTTGTACTTTCTGGCTGTGAAAGGGTATAAAGTGCAGGTGCCTGCCTTCCTAGTGAGATCTGAAAGCTCCACCTGGAGTGGAGCTCCAGTGGGCACAAAAAGCTCCATACGCTTTATATGCATATATACTCTTGTAATTAATTATGGTAATGATGCCACTGAGGAACGTGTAATTAGATTTGAATTATGAGCCTGAGGTTGGTGTATTCTGAATTCTGCCATTTCAGGAGTGAGAAATGATGACAAAATACTGGTTTTGTCTTAGATTTTCCTTAAATTACAAAAACCTCTAACCTGAAGAATCAGCAAAACTTAGGTATATTCCCATTGTAACAAATATTCCAATATCCAATTTGTAAAGTGGCACCTCTTGAATTAGCAGCATGTGGCACTGTTTGTTAATAAAGGTTGTGAAGCCCCAGCCCAAGTGCATGTGAAGGTAAGCTGAGCAGAACATTATTGTCCTGGTTTGAGCCAGGATGAAGCCAATTTTTCTTTTTACTGATTTTTTTTTTTTTTTCTTCAGTAAGCTCTCTTGTAACTAGCAACAGTGTGTTCTGCTAGGCTGATAAGACAGTGGAATGTTTTTCTAACTACTGAGGCTTCAAGGCTGCACCTGCACTCTGCCAGCTCAGACACTATGGGGAGATCTGTGACCCCCCCCCGTAGGAGGCTGAGTTAGATGGACAGCAAAATTGGCCAAAGATATTCCATTCCATATATCTACGTAAGCTCAGAGGAAGGTCAGAGATCACAGGAGACAACTTCCTTCCTTCTTCTTCTCCCCTTCTCTTCGGTCCATGGCCGGCGTCCAGGGAGGACTCTGTTCATCCATCACCGTCGATCCTCAGCCTTGATCTCTTGTGACCCCCATAACTCTCTGCTTTCTCCAGCAGCAGCTCCGGGATTCCTCGGGACTCTTCCCAGTTCAGGGAAGTGCTGTGGGAGTTGCTGGGGTGGGGGGAGGCGAGAGGCTTTTTGCCTACACCTGAATATATCTGTATATAATTGTATATATTTTCTTGTATCATTCATTAGTGTTTTAATTAAAGCTGTGTAGTTTAGTTTTCAATCCAGCCAAGTCTCTCTCTTTTTCTCTCTCTCCTTCCCTACCTGGGTTGGGGGGAGGGGGGATCGAGAGCATTGTTGTCGGACCTGAGTCAAACTGTGACAATTATAAAGTGAGGATTTCAAAGAGAACATGTTCTACCATGCTGTGATGCTAAAGAACATATTTATAAAATGCATTTTTACTGTGATTTCTGTGGAACTGGATGTTTTTCCTGAGTCTCGCCACATTTTAGAAATATATTCAATGCAGGTGAAACATCAAGAGGTTTGTGGGATAAGTGTTGAGGTTCTGAGCATAGTCAATTAAGACCATCTGTTGGTTACTGTTTAACCATATTTGGTCAAGTCTTTATGCATAGCTGTGTATCCCTCTGACTTCTGCTGTGATACCTGTTCCTATTTTTAATACCACAAGACACTAGAACTAATTAGACAAATGTGCAAATGAACAGAGTTTACTGAATGTGGGAAAACCTGTACATTTTCAATCACTGTTTTCTGAAATAACTCTTTGTTGTTTTCACTTTTGTTCAATGTCGGTTCTACTGAATTAAAACTAGTAATGGAAAACCTTAATTTAAAATCTGTGATTTATGAAGTGATGATTTTAAAGAGTAGTGTTGGGTAGTCTTAACTATAAAGACAGACTGTTATTCTAGTCATTCATTTTGGAAAATTTATTAGCTGTAGATTGTATTTTTACTTTGATAAATTGCCTAATAGATTTAGCAGTAATTATAGTAATAATGATTAGGTGTGATGCCTGCTTATGTTTCTTAAATTCTAGGAAGGCAAGTACCAATAAAAAAATGTGAAGCTAGGCAGCAGTTGAACCACTGACAGACCTTGTGCTTTGATGTTTTACAGCAGTCTAACAAATACTTCAAGCCAAGTGTATGCCAACAGTGCAGCTAAGAGTCAGTGCTGCTAAAAGAGTCAGTGCTGGTGTTTCTGAGATCTGCTTGCCAACTCAAGGGAAGGTAAGGCAAAATACTTCCCCAAGGAAGGAATGTGTTGGTGTGCCTGAGAACAACAGCAAAAACTTGAAAGGCATGAGTAGTTGAGAGAAGAGGAATGTATGCCAGATGACATTATCTGTTGAGCTCGTCTCAGGCTGTGCAGTGTTAGGGTTGGTCAGCTCCTGAGTGAGAAAAAAAGTGATTAAGTAGCCCCATGAGGCTGAACAGTGGGACTAATTAAGTTTCTTTCTTCTGGTTTTGTCTTGTGGCTGGTGTCCCTCTGTAAATGCCCTTTTATGTTATAAGGCTTTACATACTGCCAGTGTTGCAGTCTTTTTCTCAGTGGGAGCACAGATGCACCCTCTTTTCTACCAGGCTGATCATTAATACAAGTATTCTACAGTGATCTCAAACAGATTAAATCCCTGAAAGAGGCAAATAATTTTAGTTGCAAATGAATAGAACTTAATATTTTCTTACATACATGTGCTTGTGTGTGTATGTTTATTAATTGGTTATTGAATTTGCTCATTCCTTTTGGTAATAATGCAAAACTAAAGTTGTTTCATGTGGAGCTGAGTTATACATTCTGAACTTAGTATCTCTAGAGGTACCTCTTACCCCTTGTAATGCTTTTGGCCTGTATCCCCAAGTACTCTTCCTCCCATGGTCTCCAGCAGCCGTGTGGAGACAATGTGATATGACTGATGGTGTGGGGTGACTGGCTGCCAGATTGACAAAACCCTGGCTAGGCAAGAGGAAAGCTGAAGCTTTTTTAACCATGGGTCCACCATTTTGTCCAGTTGCCATAAAACTTTCAGGAATGCTTTTACCCTTGGATAATTCTTGTCCTGTGTTGGTTATAGTCGAAAGTGGCTCATAAGTCCAGAAGTTAAGGGACAAAATCAAGAGAGGCTGCTGATCTGGCCAGTCAGACAGGAACTGAGCTGAAGGTGTGAACACTGTGGAGCTTGGTTGTTTTCTCCTCTAGATTCCTGCAGCAGCTCTGACTTACACAGGATATTTCCAGACTTGCGTAGGTCTAATAGGGTGACTGCAGAGCTCATGCTTTCATCTTGCCTTTGCTTCTACTCCCATGTTGTGGCATTTGTATACATGATCTCAAGTTGCAGGGCAGCATGTAGTCACTTCTTTCCTTCCTGAGCGGGCAGTGTGCCACACGCTGCAGGTCAATAGGCTGACTGTTCCTGTGCTGTGGAGTGGATGTGAGTGTGTTGCGGTATAACTAGTTAAAAATGCACTTATCTGGTGTGTGACCCGGTGTACCAGGAGGAACGCCTAGCACGTGACTCTCTGAGGACTTGTATAATATGTGTGCAAATGGCCTGGAATTCAGTTAGCTTAAGAGGTAAGTCTGTCTGCAATCTCGTTTTCATTTTTCATCCACACTAGAGTTTCAGTGCTTTTTGTATTAGAAACAAAGTGCTCCTTCAGGTAAAAGAGATTCATGATACACAATGTTTCTCAATATATTGATTAAGAACAGGAATCACAGAGCTCAGAATTAATGCAATGGAGTGCCTGGCACTCTAACCCTTTCCAGGAGGGCATGTGGTGATAAGAACAGAAAGGAGGCAGTGCAGGGGATGTGTGTTGCAGGGAAGGAGATGTAGAGAAGAGGATGACTACTGCGCTGAGAAGTGGATTCACAGGGGAAAATGGCACGTGCGAAGGATTCAACATTGATCTTGTGCATTTTAGTGAGGTTTACTTCAGCCTGGCTCTAGTTCAATTCTGTGCTTGGAGATAGATACCCTTGGAGTTCTTGAAGGCATCTTCCTGTGGGGGAGGCTGTGCTGAGACTGCTCTGCCTTTGGAACTGAGGTGCAGTGAATGGGGGAAATGTGGAGATTCACTTCTGAAGCAAACTTCTGAGCCTGTGATGTATGAATAGTGTGCTAGCATGATTCTAGCATGGGTGTGTACCCTATAGAGTGCCTCTGGCAATGCTGATAATACACTTAAAGAGCACTTTAGATACCCAGAATCTTTTAGTTGCACTTTGCTTCAGGTTTTCCCTCCTTCCAATGTCTGTGGTGGTGCTGGCCACCCATCCTAGACAAGGTGAGCCGTAGGCTGCAGGAACTTCACAAAGGTCCACAGCAAAAGCTTCCAGAGAATGGTGGTGGGTTGAAGGCCAGTGGCACTGTGTACCAGCATGGCCTGTCAGCAGGCCAAGAGCAAGGTTCTCTCTGCTCTGTGCTGCTGCTCCATCCCATCCTTTGTCCTTGCTGCTATCTAACTGGCCAGAGTGTGGCCTCAGCCCTAATAGGACATGCAGCATTTATGTCCTCAACCTCTGGTCCACTAGAGTGAAGTAAAGCAGTGTGTCAAAGGGAACCAAAAAGTGACACCTAGACCATGACCAAAAAAAAAAAAAAGGGGAAATGAGTGGGGAAAAAAATGGCTTTGGAGCCAAGGCTTGTGATCAAGGCAGGGCTGGCCTGTTGAATGAAAAATGATGGAAAATGAGTGCTGAGGAGGGGAAAATTCAGGGCTGTTTTTTTGCTTTATGTGCATTTGTTGCCCAAGTGGGCAGTCATAACTCTGAAATTATTTCAGTGGTTTGGTTTGTTGGCTTTAAAATCAACACATCTGCCACCAATGAGAAGAGGCTACAAAAGCCTATTAGCTGAAATTAATGCACAATGGCTGTCTGCATTTTCTTCCCAGAGTATTCTCTAAGTTCTAAGGTACTTCTGTGAATCTAAAAGAGATTTTAACTTGTCTTGTTTAAAATAAAAAAGAAAAAGAAAAATATTTTTGTAAAAAGTTCCAAATTCAGTAGCTGTGAGGAAGCCAAAGGTTACTGTCAGTGGTGCTTAGCCTCAGCAGCAAAGTCAGTGGACACCTCCCAAGGTATGAGCTCTGCTACCAATGACAGGTTTTGGCAGGCATATGCAGACCACTAGAAAATACAAAGACAAAAGCAGGACCAGGTGAGGTGTGAAAGCTAGTGAAAGGGAAAGAAAAAAACCAAAACCACAGAGCCAGCCAGATCTTAGTGGATGTAAAGGTCAGTCTTCCATGTGAGACGAAAAGAGTTATTGCTGAGTAACTCCATTCATTGCCTCAGCCTCTCCTAGAGAGAGTTTTGCTAGCTTTATGGGGAGAAGTAAGGTGTTAGCTCCTTTGGAGGAGAAAGGTAGAGCTGGTCAGCTGAATGGGATGAATTATCCGCTTTTCTAGGATTAAAAATTTTGGCAGTGCTTGTAGCGACTGTGGGACTTTCAGTGAGAAACCTTTGCTAATAAACATGCCTCACTGATTCATTTGTGTCTGATAGATTATTTATTCATTTATTTATTTATTTATTTTACCTGTCTTCAGTTCTTACTGTTCTCAGGAAGCAATTCAATGGCTTTGGAATGTGGAATTTTTTTCTTTAAGTTTCTACAAGGTAAGTGAAAGGTGTATTTTAAAATATGCTGTCTAGGTTTTACTTGTTCATATTTTTCCATTTCAACCTGAAAAAATATCAGAGACAAATAAAATTAGCAAAAGAGAGACTCTTCAAACTTTTTCACTCCAAAAGAGATTTATCTCCCGTCACCCTACCCTTCCTCCTGCCTCTGGACCACATGTGGACCTATTCACTCAACTGAACTGTCTCCTTTTTTGTGGAAATTGATTAATAACTTATTTTTTCTGTCAAACCTGAAAATCTGAGAGATGCAAAGGACAGTATCAGCTAGTAGTCATGAAACTTTTGAACATGAAAAGCTTGGTAATGCTGAAGAGAAAAGGTCTCCAACTAAAGAGGTTGGAACTGGTTTGGCCAGTGCAGGGCTTGCTTTCTTCTGTATCTGTAAGGGAGCAGCTGCTTAGTGTAATATTAAAAGCTAATGTGTTGTTGAATATTGAAATCGCTAAGATGAAAACTAAGGGCTCAGTTTATTAGTTAAGAAACATTTGTATGACTTGGCGTGTAAGTGTATTTGTTTTCTAAACAATGTGCTTGTACTCCACTAAATTCAGCTCAGTGTGTTTTGTCAGTGGGAGCAGCTCTTCCTCTTCTGCAGGACATGGGCTCCATTTTTGAGTGGTCTCTAGCCTTTACTATGTACAACCCATGTATATGTATCTCAAGAGCCACAGGGAAAACACCTATTTATAGCATCTCTGTGGTTAAAACACTTCTGTGTTCAGTGGGTTTGATCAAGTTGCAGTTTCTTCAATTAGATATTGTTAGCAAGTGCTGAAACTTTGCAGGGGAGTTTACTATGCTGTACAATGCAGAAATGCTAGAAAACTGCAAGAAGAGTGCTATTCTGAAGTTAAAGCTAGAATAACAGGAAAGAAAATGTGGAAGAGGAAGGACAAGCAGTAGAAGGCTGCAGAGCTCAGGGAGCAGGACAGGATGATTGTGTTTTTGAAGAGAAACTTGTTGAAAGGAAAGGAAGAAATTAGGATGTGTAATGTTGGTAATCCAAACAGAAACAGTTAAGAGTTGGACAAATGGAAAGTCAGGGTTTTTTTTAATGAGGTTTCCCACCTGAAACTAATAGATGAGGGTAAAACCAACAATAAATATCAGTGAAATGTTAAACATTAAGTAGTCATTTCCTCTAAGCTCTGAGGCTCTGTCGAAGGTACTTAATAAGACAGCATTTGTTGAACAAAAATTAGTCCAGTTTGGGATGTGTAAATCTAGCACTGCTTTTGCTGTTAGCCCACCAAAACACAACATTTTCTAATGTTTATGGTTACACCTGTTGCATGCAGCTGGCAAGTATATAGTGTAGGAAATTATGGGTCTCAACATTTTAAGTAAAGGTATTTGAAATAAACTGTACTTTCTTGAATTTGAGCTTTTTGGCACTGACAGAATGATAGATGGGACCAGCAACTTAGCAGATACTGTCATTCATTATCTTTTTATCAAAAGCTAGTTAGAGTGTCCACAATAAGTAGACCTTGCCAGATTGGATACCCATTAGGGGAGAACTGAGGATAACTTTTCAAAGGCTGAATGAGAAATATTATTTTTCTGAAGATCAGGAAAAAAAAAAGTTATTAATTTGTATGTTTCAAATCTCAGGCAGGCCTAACCCTGCCTTTTGGCCAAAGAAGTCTGATCAGGGCAGGACCAAATGAGTAATGTTTGTGGTGGTTCGAATCCCTGGTGACCCATTCTGAGCAGCTGCAGTTCCTAGTTATTGGAAAACTCAGGTTTTGACTAAGAGAACAGCTGGGGTCTGGCAGGTTAGCAGCAATGAAACAAATTAGCATTGTCATCTTGACAATGGCAACAGCTTTAAATATTGACTGCGAAATATTATTTTTTTTATTCCAGTTTTGCTTCTTGGGTAAAGGCAGAAAAAATTGGGAGTAAAATAATTCCTCTGAATACAATTTACAGTTCATTGTATGGTGTTTAGGGGTAGCACAGTAGAATTAATTGTTACTTTTTGTATTGGAGTAAGGAAGCAACTTCTTTCCCTCCCTATCACACCCCCCAGGTTTGTCCAATGCACGGTTTTGTTCAGTCTGAAAGTCTTGCTCCCAGAGTAACATCATATGCCTTTTAAATGTGCCTCTTAGGGGGCTCTACTGTGCTCTCAAGGTAGATTACAGTATATAAAGCAAACCCAGCTGTGAAAACAAGCCCCCTAACTTACTACTTTAAAGCTCATCTAATCCAAAATGTCTGATACTCAAGGGGATCATGTAGCATTCTTTTTTTCACCAATTTATTGATTGTAAATATGGCTCTTGTTAAAATGGAGCACTGTTGGTGTTTTAATTTATAATACTACATTTCATAAGCTTCTAGCAACAGTATCAAATACGTAAGAGAGCAAATGATGAATCCAGGAAATTTTGTAGATAAAATGATATTTCACAGGCCAGGTGAAAAATAAAAGTCAGTACTTTTGGATGTCACTCCTGAGTGTTGCCTAATATTTTCGTTTGCTTACCTTCTGCATGTGGACATGCAAAAGCAGAAGGGAAAGTTTATTTAAATTATATATAACCTTGAGAGAACATTACCAAGCCAGAATTTATTTTTTTTTAAAGGATATATTAAAAATATATAATTTAATTCCTACCTGCAATATAGATACAATTGCATCCATTGCTGGGATACTGGAAGGACTCTAGGAACTGCACACAACCTTTGGTCTATATGTCTCATTTCTGTCCTTCACCTGCTGCTAAGAACTGTGATGGCTGTCTGGCTGGAAAGCTGAGCAGAAGAATATCTAATCCTAAAGCCTTCTGCTGTTGAGTAATATTCTGTTTATCTTCTGTGTTTCATGGTATTTTTTCCAATACTGGTTGTATTTTCCTTTTTGTTGAACTATCAGAAGGGATCTTACTGCTATGAACTATCCTAAAAGGATAGTAGGTGTCATGTAACTGCAAAAGGAAAAAATGACCTAACGTGTGTTGACAAACCATCACTGGTAAAATAATTACTTGCACTTCTTTAAAGTATGAGGTAGAGGATAGATACCCTTCATTTATGTTTTTCATTTTTGTGGTTATACTGCAATAACTGCATAAATGCTTCTAGACATTGCCACTAAAATTACATGACATTACATGCTCGGTGGCAGTTTGCTTCTGCCAGGGGCACTACTGCATATCTAATCTGATCCAAGACTACAGGTAGTGCTTTCTTCACTAACAGATGCATCTGTATAAGTTCTCGTCATTTTAGTATTACACATTTGCAGTTTATAACAAAAAAGTGCTAGTGCCATTACATAGAAACCAAATCATAGAATGCCAGGTTAGAAGGGACTTCAAGGATCATCTGGTCCAACCTTTTTAGGCAATACTATAGTTTGTATGAGATGGCTCAGCACCCTGTCAAGCTGAGACGTAAAACTGTCCAATGGGGGGGAATCTACCACTTCCCTTGGGATACTATTCCGATGTTTGATTGTCCTTATGGTGAAAAATTAGTTTCTTGTGTCCAATCGGAATCTCCCCAGGAGCAACTTGTGCCCATTATCCCTTGTCTTTTCCATGTGACTCCTTGTAAATAGGGAATCTCTATCTTCTTTGTAGCCACCCTTTAATACTGGAACATGGTAATAAGGTCTCCCCAAAGCCTTCTCTTCTCAAGGCTGAACAAACCCAGTTTTTTCAGTGTCTCCTCATATGGCAGGTTCTCCAGCCCCTCTGATCATCCTTGTGGCCCTTCTCTGGATCCTCTCCAGCTTCTCCACATCCTTTTTTTGTATAGCAAAAAACCCAGTGTTTTGCTAAGCCTTAATAACAAGAGCATTAATGCACGGTCTTTGTAAGCTTGTTTTACTTGGAGTGCATTTAGTGCTGTTGAATCTACAACTGGAGAGGACTAACTATGCATATTTGTAGTTGGGTTACTTGGGTTGTTCAGATTTACTGCACTAGATGTTCATATTGAAAATACCTCCTTGTTTTCTTTTCCCTGGTGGGTTGGTTGTTCATGATTTTTTGTGATGCTTAACCACTTTCTACAGAGACTTACTTTAAAGCTATGTCTGTAAAAACTAAATTGACATACTTCATTCAGTACTTGTTAGAGAAGGACTAATCTAGTTAGATCCCAGCTTCTTCTGTCTCCCTAGAGCTTGTCTAGCATTTCTCAGGATTCCCAGCTTGGTATGTCAGAGTGCTCCAGAACTGTCTTGAAACAGCCTTCAGAGATCCTAGGAAACTTTCCATGACTGCTGACAGTTGCACAGTAACACCTGTGTGACTGTGTCTTGCTGTATTTAATGTTCCTTCATGTTGTATTCAGTGATACTTCTAGGCAAACTTGAGGGACAGATGCCACAATTCACTCCCCCAGCATTGCATCATTAAATTAGTTACAGATGACAACACACCAAAATACTGTCCAAAATTGTCCAGAGAGGCAGACCCTGCATGTCCAGAGAGCCAGAATAAACTCTGAATCCGTACTTGGATCATTCATAGGCAGCTCATTGCAAGATTATTAGTAAATTGTGATTGTGTGACACTTTGAATTTACTTAGGACCTTTGAGCAAAGGCTAGGAAAAGAAGAAGGAATATTGTTTACATACTGAAGCTGAAAGAGGTATAGATGCTTTCATATGAACCTGCTGAATATATTGCATTTTTATGGTATGTATGTAGCAACCATTAGCAATATGTACTGCTAAGGTTAATATTAAAGAAAATAGGAACAATGGAATAGAATAGTTTCTGTTGTTGGAGGAATATTGGTTAGGCCAAATCCATTTAAGTAAAAGGTAAATCCACTTGATTATCAGCTCACAATTAAACATTAGTCTCAAGAGTTTATAACAGATGTGTCATATTAGACAAATGTTTTTCTTCTTAGTCACCAAGTGTACAAACTAGCAGATTAGTAACAGGCTTTGGTATTCTTGTGTTGGTTGTTGTGTTTTGTCTTGTTTGTTTGTTTTTTAAAAAAGAAGAAAGCTAATAGCCAGACAATTACAGCTGCTCAAAATTAAAATTATACTAATGTTATGAATTCTGTAAGCCGTGTAAGTAGTGAAAAGGAAAACACTTTTTGTAGTTTTTAATAGTTTTTATATTATCTTTTCTTAACCTAACATTTGAGGAATTTGAGCAGTACAGACTGTCTGTCATTATTGTTCACCTTATCTTTTAAACCTTTGAGTCTAGTTAGCTTTTAAAAAGTACTTGAGAAAATATCCTTAAATATGATAATGATGTGTATTTTGAAAGCTTTTATTTAATATTTAAGGGGTCTGAATCAAGCATGAAGCTTTTTTGACAACATTAATTTGTGCTGTAACATAGTGGCTAACTGGTTACATATAAAAATATTCTGGCTTTAAAAGGCTAATGACTAAAAAATAAGAGAGAAGCAGCAAATTCCTGACAATAAAATAATTCAGCTCACTTTAACCTTCAGAGTATGGTAATGGTTTTTGCATCCTGAGTGAGTAACACCTTATTTGAGCATTCTCGCTGAAAGAAAAAACAAGACTCGGTCTGCTTTGCTTTTATATTCTTGCTTGGTTGATTGACTAATGGAATTATTCACTGTAGATTAATCACAGTATTCAACAACCACTCTTCCATGTGAGAGAGTTCCAAGAAAAAAAATCTAAAAATAAGAGAATGACAGTAAAGATCATAACCGTCTCTTGGTATGTTATACACATGTTTATCTGGTCAAGCTATTTACTGTAGGCTGTTAGCAAAAATATCATTTTACAGGTGGGAAATCGAGACCTTTAGACCCATATTGTGAAATGTAGCCACAAGTTTTACGTTTCTTTGTGCTAGAATGTTTCTCCTGAAAATTCGAGGCTTTTTATAATTGCTTTCATAACACAGAGTGAACCAAAATAAAAAACAAAATAGCCCTTCTGACAGGCTGAAGAAGTCTCCAATGGGTATCAGAACATGACATCTGGAATTGCTGGTTCCTACTGAGTGGTTTGGCCTTTAGAACTTCCTCAAGATCTCATGGGAAAACGATGTCAGAAGTGGAAACAGAATTTTGTTCTCCAGAGCAAATCTATTTTTATTAACAAAAATGTTGTAATTAAGGCTTCATCATGGTTTCCACTCAAAGTTCATGGTTTAGATGCTCATTGCCCTCTAAAACTTAATGCTCTTTACATAGCAATTCCCAGGCTTTTCTTCTGGCTGAGAATGGTTATTTTGGGAAGGACCATTAATACAGATTTTGAGGGAGGGGAGAGACAGGGAATGAAAACAAAACAAACTTTGGGTTGAATATTGAAGCTTGTCTTTACTAAGGAGATACCTGTTGGGAGTGTTTCAGGTTTTGATTTGACTGCTGTTCAAACTTTGAAAGCTAACGTATGTCAGGATTTACTTTGAAGTGCTACAAAATGTATAAAGCAAGTAGCTCGAGAGGGTCTGCTGCTTACA